GTCAAAGAGTAGACTGAATTCAGACATTTGAGTAAACTGTATAAATATTGAAGTACCTCGATGTGCAGCTCAATTACAATGTGATTATTGCATTTCAGAAACATCAGCATGTATAGACATAGGCCTACCGTGTATACAATTATAAAAACTGTATATGTAACTCGGTCATTTCGCGCATTTCAAACAATGAAGTTAACGACCTCTGTTATGGTGATGCTATTTTTTTCACTCCAATATGAAGTTAGTAAAACAATTCAAAGCACACATACTCAAGAAACTATCGTCTAATTTGTAATCACTATATTACTCCAAACATTATGTAACGTGTGCAAAGCGGATTCGTTGGTGGCGCTGTTATTTTGTACAAAGCGTTATTGGTGAAAGAAACAGCACTTTTGAAATACGATTTTACACGTTGGTATTTAAACAAGGTTCAATAATAAATTGTGGAATTTTATATCAAGAGTATACACTAACATAGTAGCAACTAGCAACTTTGTCGCGATAGTGGATGTCTCTATCAACAAGATGAAGTCTATCCAGTCTTGGCAATGATTGGCAGCTCTACTCTCACGCGCGTGCATTGGCTTGAATACAGCGCGCGTGAGGTATCTTTGGAATGTTCTTGCTAGCGCTGCAAATACTGCCAAGACTCGACTAGTCTTGTTTGAATAATCAAGTTGATTAATCTTGTTTATAGCAACCTTGCGACTGTAAAAGGGGAATAAAATCCAAATCGAGTTTCGGGCCAAGAGTAATAACATAGCTGTGTCGGGGTCGGAGTTCTACCACCCCTCCCTGTGGGTGGGGGAGAAATAAGATGAAAAGAAAGATGGGAGGCCGCTTTTTTTGGCTTCGCGTTTTCTACGCTCAAAAAGAAAAAAACCCATTAAGAGTAGTTGCTTTTCCTTCTATTGGTTGTAAATTTGTAGTTCCATATACCGGTTGAAATAACCAGAATAGTGTAGCTTTGTAGTGTTTAAGCAAGTGTGTGCAGGGAGTTACCGGATTCGGAACACTGAAGATGAAAATAAATGCTTAGAATTCAATCATACCATCGGCTAATCAAAGATATTATTTACAAACTAATAAAGTATAATAGTTGGTTTTGCCCTTCACCGACTTTCAAATTTTTTAGCACTCCGACGCAGATTCCATCTAATGAATAAACTTACACAGCCCCAACCGTCGTGCTTAAATAATAATGCCTGCGTAATACAGTACAGTATTAAACCAGTGACTAATCAGGAAACGAATGGCGGGAATATACGAGCGTTTATAGTTTCGCTTGCCTTATATACGAATACTTTGGGTACAATATAATGAGGTCATCTCGGGAATCAGCATGAGGGCGCTAACACCCAAACAAGGTAGAGCCGCACAGTTGCGAAATTTGTCTCTTTTGCCGCTTATTTACAAAAGTGGATTAAGATTCTAACGAACAAGTCTGCCCGGAACCCATTGCGAACAGGACTCAATTTTATGACTCCCTTCATTCGTTCATTCGTGTGGACACCATCTAAACTGGGAGGTCAGAGGACAGATAGTTGATAGTAGCGTCATCAAGCCAGCAGCGTCATCAGGGGTCCAAAGATACTGCATTCCTGGATGATGTGGTTAGTGTTCTGGGTGGTTCCGCACGCACACAGATCAGAATAGAGGCACCAGTCCTACAAAAAGTATTGCTGGGTGCGGCCAGCGTCTGATCTGAGTCGGTTCAGGTTGGACCAAGTCAGGATGGAACGGCTGAGATGACGCAAGTTTATGAGCTTCTGTGGAGAAGTGCTTGCGAAGAAGTCTCAGGTTGGCTGGGTCTACATGTTCGGAGACATGATTAATTGTACAATGAATCATTGTAATTATAACGTCCACGCCCTCTCAAATATACTCCTTTCCTTTTCAGTTTGCTCATATTAATTTGAAAAGTGGCTCTGCATATTGGCGGTCCAGATTGTAAAATTTTTAACTTAAAAATATTGTGTTTTCATAACTCACGGCGCGACGAATTGATGCTTTTTTTTAATCCAGACAAAATTCAAACGCTTATGTAATTTACATGCAGGCACCAGACTATTTCTTATTTGCATACGTTTTCAAAAATCTTGCACATGCAAATGATCCAATACCAGGGCGAGAGAGCTGGTAGTGGTGGGCGCGTATTGTTCGACACCCTGGGGACAAGGTTGGTTTGGGCAGATACTCCGTCATCAAAGAGAATCCCGTGGCGTCGCCGTCTGGCTTCGGCATTTGCCGCTCAGTATCTACTCTGCTTTGTTCAATCCGTATTCGTACTATGCCTTGTTATAATACAATCCATACGCTTAATATATATGGCCTTAGATTATATAGGGCGCCCTCAACCGGTTTTCGTTCCGCGATAAGGGGTCAACGTGTGATGTCATCAATGTCAGTGCAGTAAGTCCTCGATCCACAGCGGAGGCGGCGCATGAGGGCGCGCTACTGATGATCGGGGACGGCGCACATGGGTGCACGCCTGTAAATAGGTCAAAAATCCGTCCGCCGAGCTCATGAATAAAAGTTATACCCTCAAAATATTCTATATTAGAGAGTTTTGAGAGCCATCAAATTGGGGAATTGAAGAGATATGGTAGTGAACCTCTGGCCCGGACCTGGGGCTTCCAATTCTGAGCATTTTGGATGCTATTGGGCTCGAAAGTGGCGCTATTTTGCCTCGTTGTGGAGGGATCGTTTTTCAAGATGGCTACTTATCCGCTTTGGGGAAAATAGGGGTCGTCTTCTTTGGGTGAGAATATCTCGAAAAGTCAATGGTCAACCCACCAAAAAATGAAAAGAAAATGAAAGATGACACATTGATCATCATTTTTCTGTGAGAGTTTTGAGTATTTTTCAATGAATTTTAAAGTATGCGCATTTAGCACTAGTGTATATATTGTTTTTGCAGGGTTGCACCCACATACCCAATGTACACGGAACACGGACCATGATCAACGGCGCGGCATACAGAATCCCGACTTGGGTCAAGTCTAGGAGTACTGTTGATCGGTTGCGCCAGGGAATTTTAAAATAATAATCATTAGTGATGGGATGGTAGATTTCTTGTACCGCTCAGTATACTACATGTATATGGTACACGCATAAGTCATAAATATACACCTTTAGAACACAAAAGTAATCAGTAGATACAAGAAGATCAATTATCAACAGCAATCAGAGGCCATTTGTTGCATTTTGTTGGGCCTAGCCTTGATCAGATTGGATTCCGTTGTGTATAATGAAGACGTCAAACTTGCGTTAGGATTAGGCCTACGCTTCGTTACACACATTTAAACTGCCATGACTGATGCTACATCATTTTAGCTTACAGGTTAAGCTTAGCCTGTATTCAAAGGGCATGACTAGGTTTTTGATAGATGGTCTGGATTATGTCTAAACAATATGGGTTTTCAAGAATAACATTTCATTAGTGAAGTTTACTTGGAATCGAATCATGCTGCCTTTGTCAATTTTGAAGTTTTTTTTACAAATGCTTACCTGTTTGTCATTTATTGCCGTAATGCAAGCAAATATTCATTTTCTTCCACAGCAAAGTCCGTACATTACTAAAGTAGACCTTAATACAGGCATATGGTCTAATACTTCCTGAATATGACCCCAGGCTTTTAAGCAGAGCTTGGTGAAAAGAGTTGGAGAATGGTGGAATCAATTCATCACCGACACCACGAAGAAACACTGCACGTGTTAAACCATATTTTTTTTCGGTTTTCAGTATTTTTCATTTGTAAACATTATTCATCAAGGCCTACCATTGCAGGAAGTTTCAACGCTTCAAGTAGGCCATTAGCCTCGGTCCACAATTTTGACAACCGGTATCAAAAGAGGGGAATAATCGTTATATCGATTTTTGGCAAGGTATACACCTCCAGGGTTGGAAAATATGTGATAGCATTGCAGCGGTGGCAGCTTTTTGGGTGTTATCACCTTTTTATTCAAAATGTCCATCAAAATGCTTGTTACCACTCTAGGGTGGTATACCTTGCGCATGCGCACTATAATCATTTATGCCCTGATTTGATACTGACCAAACTCCCAAGCTGATGGCGTATAGAGCTTTACTTTAATAAATACCCTTATTATCCATGGCGAAAGTGACAATTTTTGTTTTCACGAAGCAACACTCAAGTTCAATTTACCATTGTAATGCATGGCGCGCACTCTACTCAAATGCGAGCAAAAACGCTTTCACGAAGTAACGCTCTCCTTGTTTGAGCGCGCGCGCTGACCCCCATTTCCGCGAAGTAACATGCTCACATAGTGTTGTAATACATTGAAGCGTGCTACTTCGTGAAAACGAAAATTTACAGTTTCGCAGATTTTTTTTTGGTTTTACGAACCAACACTCAACCTTTTTTCTGTTATTTTTCTTGTTGTTTTAATATTTAAACGGGTCAAAAACAGCAAATTTAATAACATCAATACATAAAGTGTCCACAACGAGAAACCCAACTGAAGATACTATGCAGTTTTGACGCAAAGTGTTGTTTCAGAAGGCGTTCAATTTGAGATGCCGTTTTCTTCGATTGCTAGTTTTTACTTGTATGTACATGAGTGTTACTTCGTGGTGTCGGTGACGACATTTTTAAGGAAAATGTAGGAAACCTTGAATGCCTACGATTGCTAATTTTACTTTTGGCAAAATACCCCTATTACTGGAATCAGTTGAATATGTCGGACACAAACTTTATTTAGTGCTTCAAAAAAAATAAAAGAATTATTCAGTTTAATTCGTTTATCTAGAAACTCAGTACATGTATGTATTCTTAATATTAAACTTTCAAATTGAAGTTTGCCGAAAGCCGTTAGAATGCACATGGCCCTTAGACGCAAGTCTGACAATTCAAGCTTGCTTTGGAATACTCTTTTAATAGTCATTTCAAATCATCTGCACAATTATTGTGCCAATATCCTTCTTGAAACTTATAGAAAGGGCAGCATTTTGGTTGAACTTTTTATTTTTTTACAAAAGAGTATTACCCACACCATGTAGATCCCTCTGAAACTATGTCCAACATATCTGATGGAAGCTAGTCTACACTATATTTCAACCTAATCCTGACATAATATCGCGGCTGAAAATCTACTGTTTGGTAAACTTGGAATTCAACTTGTGCACGTTAAACCTCAAGCAGTTGATTTTGAGAAGAATTGTCTTGTTATTGACCACTCAGTTGTTCTGGCTGATAATAATTGGTCAGATTTCGAAAAAATGTGTTCAATTTTAACTTGACAAGAACAAAATGAGTACCCAATTTTCCTGCAGCTCCATGATGTATGAATTGCGCAAAGGGTTGTAGAAGCATGCAACAGAAGGGTAATGTGTGGGATTCCTTTGACGTTGAAGTTTTGTGTGTGTAATTTATTCACTATGATAGTTAATTCAATAACATTGTAGCATTATCATAGTCATTCCCATCGATCCAATCATGTAATTGTCATCAACATTTCATACTACAATCACCAACATCATTATACCTATCTCCTTGATGAAAGTGATTTGTTTGAATGATCATTCTCCTTCCATGTAAGATGTCATAAATTGTCCTAAGCAAACTGTTACTGTTGTTGTTAAATATCTTGTTGCACAAAATGAAATGCTTTAGCTCAAACTTTTGACAAGATCAATGCTATGGAAAAAAATATTCAAGTTGAGATACATCGTTTTGCCACAAAATGCAATGAGTTTCAATAATTAAATGCAAGATACATCGTTTTCCCATACAAATGTAGTAACATTAAATCATGTAACTTATGGATAAAACGCTTTGCCATATATATTGTGTAATGGAAATTACATGTAATTTGAAATACACTATTTTGCCATTAAAATATTTAATATCTAGCAACACAATGTAAGTGCAAGAAATTCATCATATTAAAAAAAAAGTCATGTGTCCAAAAAGGCACGTGTCCAACTTAAAACTCAATTTTCTCAAAATGCAATTTTCGAGTTTGGCTGTCGGCGTGCCCCTTAAGGTGCATGAACATCAAAGAGAACCAAACTGTGTAGTTCAACGCCCCAACCTCCAGGGCCTATGTTTGTGCAAACGTGTTATCTCTTAAGCTATTTTACCATAACAATGCCCGAGAATTCACCTGTTAAATCTGCCTCCGTTGCCATTACACCCCCTTCATACACCCACTCCCATCCTGGGTACAGTGTGTTGCCTGGCCAACTGACAAATATCGGACCACCATTGACCGACGTGTTGGTGTGGAGCAGGTTTGCTCCCAGTGTGTGTAGCGGTTTCTTGAAGATGGACCAAGATTGCTTGAGGTAGAATTCTTTGAAATGAGGATAGATGCTTATGAACAATTCTTTGTATCCCTGCTCTCTCGCCAGATGCTCTGCTCTCAATGTGCCCGATTCACCGATGCCTTTACTTCTCTTGTCAACATCAATGCAGAAGCCCTCGGCGTAAACCGCCCCCTGTCGGTTTGTGACTGGAAGAAATCGGACATGACCCACCAGAGTTTCTCCATCGCGTTTGTCGTCTGGGTGCTCGACCAGTCCGTACGAGCAAGGCGCAGGGTTCAGTTCATGCTTGGCAAGTTCCGGTAGAAGGTCTGCCTTACAATGTGGATACTCGGCTCTTAAGATGGAAACACAACTGGGGATGAGGTAACGAATGGAGTGCAGAGGTTTCCATGAGTACGAAAGCGCCATTTGGACGTCACGCTCCAACCGGATTACAACTCTGCAAAACATTTTCAACACAGATTTTAAAACATTCACTGCAGTGTGTCAGATTTGTTTTGGACTTTTTTTTGGGGGGGGGGACGGGGGGGGGGAGAGAAAATATCCAAGGCATTAAGTGGATGCAATGGTTTTGATGGCAGTACCTAAAATAAATGCTGCTTCATGCATATTTTTTTTAAATGACTTGGTTAAAGTACCAAGTAATAAAGTACCAACAATATGTATCACCATGCTAACCATGGTTATGTTGTGGTTACCATGGCATTTCGATATTAAAGCCATGGTATCAAAAACACGTGGTTTTTACATGTGAAATGATTGTGAAACGATGATACCATGGTTGCATTATGGTGTTGACAGTAAAATGATAGTTACCGTGGTTTTACCAAATGGTTTGACAATGGTTTATCTTGATGAAATCATATGTAACTATTGCGAATTGGTGGTTATCATGCTTTCTAGATTGCCAAGTTTTTGGCATTTTTGGCAAACATGAACAATTGAACATGCGGTTTAGGTTGTTGAATGACTGAATCAAAAACCGCCATGTCAATGATGCTTACATTTCAAGCAGCAGCGTATCCAGCTTTTGATGTCGGTGGGGGGTGGGAGGGGGGGGCAAACGCACATCCGCGCCGAAACGTAGACATGTTGTTTTCTCCGGACACTTGACCTCCGTAATATGAAAATAAAAGGCGGGGCGGGGGGAGGGGGCTGGTACCCATCTTCCAAATGGGGGCGCTCTTCAAAACTGATCATTATTATGCATACTACATATTTTAAGGGCATTTTTACGGCGCATTGCAATGGTTGTTGAGCGGGTTTATTTGGTGGGATTGATGTCAGAAGAACTCTATAAACATTTACTTAAATCATTGCTGACAAAAAAAATGTTGGCTTTTTGAATTGGCTGGTCATTGGCCCGTTTTAAGGCTTGCACAGCAGCGCAGAACTGGGCCAGTACATGATACCAGAATCAAACCTGTACTGGACGCGTAATTATTATTCCTGGGAGGGTTAGGGGCAATGTCATGAATAATTCATGTTTATCCATGAGAACGGACAATGACATCAACAGCATTGTTGTTAGTTACTCAACTAGTTACAATACATTAAAGCATTTTAAAGAACGGTTGTCGTCGAGCTACCACACAGTAGCCTAGTGGATAGCGAGATGAGCTATGGATACAAAGATCCCTGGTTCGAATCCACGTCGTCGCTGCTCATTTTCATCAGCTATTTTTCTCCTCCAAATTTATCACTGAGATAATTTTAAATTAAGGGGAAAATAGAACGAGAACCTAAGTCTTGCAATGATTCAAAGGAAAAACTGAATTATTCATGACATTGCCCCTAACCCTCCTAGGAAAAAAAATACGCGTACTGGACAGATTCTGGGCCAATACATTATGCCAGAATCGGTCCAGTACTGAGACGGCATTGATCCGGAACTGGGTCAGCATAGTTCCAGAAAAGGGCCAGTTCTGTTTGACATGTACTGGCCCGGTGCTGACCTTTTTAATTGGCTGGCCATTGAGCGTTTAAGGCTTGTACAGCAGCGCGGAACTGGGCCAGTACATGATACCATAATAAAACCAGTACTGGACCGATTTCGGGCCAATACTTAATGCCACAATCGGTCCAGTACCACATCATATATAGCCACAATTGGCAATTTTGTGTCCGTGAATACAATTAAATATGTACATGGACATGACGGGGTTGAAATAAAGTACGAGTGTGAAAGAATTTACGTCAACATGTTACTTCAAAATGTGTAGTGAGTATGTTTTAGTTGCTTTGCACGAAATGGCAGTTGGTTGCTTCAGATACACACATACCTAGCTCCTTTATTCGTCTGAAAAATTTGAAGTACTCTGGAAAGATCCACAATCTTCTGACTCTGTATGCGGCTCGCCTTTCCCCAACTAGTGTGTAAGAATTGCTGAATGGGAATTTATGCTAATCAGTCCATAACCACGATCAGCTGAAAGCACTCTTGATGACCTGGTGGATAAAATACACGTAGGCCTCTGCATAGAGCATGTACGTGCTAGTGCTAGCCAGGATGGCTCCTGGCAGTATTCCAGAACACCAACAGCTGCACGTAGATTAGTGATTGTTTACTTTGGCCGACCGTGTTATCACTATATGCATCGTGCAGTCGGGCCTCGATCTGTGCGTGTGAAGTACTGACCTTGAACAGTAGCCTACATTTGGTGTACCGGTGTCGACGTTGTCCTAGCAAAAGATCACTGAACGCTTCAGTAATTTAGAAGTATCTCGTGTCCGTATAGTCCGTGTGTATTGTCCGGGTCGTCCTATACGTTTTTGCATGTAGATTGTAAATACTAATAAATAATGCATGTTAGCTCGTAAATATTCATGTTGCTATGGTCTGGTCTTTTATGTTGTTAAGGCGTTTTTAGGTTCTTTGTTTAGCCTGATACATGAAGTCATGTGACGCGAAAGCTGCGCGATTTGAAAAACCCAGAAAAAGGAGAAGAGCTCCAACGCCGATCGCCATCAAAATTATGGCAAAATATTATTGCAAGCTTGCATGAAAATTAATAGATCCGCCGATGACCAGGTCTTGAACCTTCGGTGGACTCCTGGAGCTAATTCTGACATCTCTGCCAGCAGACCGTAAGTTTGAGCTCATTTTTTTACTATTTTCTCAAAGAATTTGTGTTTGGCTTACTCTGTTAATTCAATGGCAGTTATCGTTTAATCATTGCTCCTTGATAAGGTACATGTACTTGATTTTATATAATGTACCCACAACCTTGATTTAGCCTTAATTAAGTGATTACATGTATTATAATGCTAAGCTCTTCGTAGTAATGGCAGGCAATCGATTATAATTTGATCTTTAAGGGTGTATCAACTCTTAAATATTACAGATGGCAACTTGGCCTTGCTAGACGCCATCCCAGACCGTCCCGGCTATGCGAGACAGACAGGTCTGCGACAGGCCCTATCCCTATCTGGTGAGGAGACCGTCCGTCGTGCGAGGCAGACAGGCCTCTCGACAGGACAGTTAACAGCGCTGACAGAGCTACTGGTCTCCACAGAACCACACACCTACACAGAGGTTGCGCATAATAGCTGGGACAACGACGGTCAAGTTCAAGTGAGGATATCACAGACTCCCACATTTCAGGCGGGCCCATTTAATATATTGCCGGCTTAGTTGAATATAATTCATTGTTTATTTTATTAATAAGTTACTATAGGTTGCCTTATTAAGATTTATTAGATTAGGATTAAGTTATCATTCGATAAATTATCTAATTCCTATAGGCCCTAACGTATATCGTTTCATTAAGTTTTCGTGAATGAGAATTAGTTTATTGTTCCATCAATTATCCAGTTATTATATTATTGTTGAAGTGCTTAGTGTATGATTTATTGTGAGATCTAAGTTCTGCTAATTGATTAACTTATTTCTAGTTTAAAGACTCCACCCACGAATTAATTTAGTGTTATTCGTTCTATACATATTATTCTGAAAATACCAAACAATACATGTAAATACTGAAGAGGAAGTTGTACATATTAAATAATTTGTAGAAACCTTAGAAAATTCTGGACATTTAATTCTTGAAGTGTTTACGAAGTTTGCGGGTGGGAAAATCAATCCCGAAATTTATTAGCCGTTTTTTGGGGTAGTTGTGACAACCGGTACATGTACCCACATGTACATGTGCATGTTCCATAAAGATCAATGCAAAGAACTATGAAACTAATAGGTCTATGAAAAGGAGTGATGCATTCTTCAAGGACAAATGTTTGCCTAATTCAATTATACCATTAAGCTGTTTTGCCAACGTACAAATCCCTCAGTCGATCGTTGAAATATTTATTCCATAATCAGTCACTAGCTGATCAACGCCAGGGTCACAATTGAAGTCCAGATTTGTCTGAGGAGCATGAAATTCAATACAAAGTTTAAAAAAGGCAACATTTTTGACCTAAATGCTATTCGAAGTGAAAACAACTGAGTAATTATACGACATATCCCAGTGGCAAGATACAGAGCCTAGCTGAATGGCGCCATTCCCAGCCCTCTTAGGGACCTTGACCATTCAGCCCCGGTATGAAAAGGGCCCTCCGGTAAGCTCGTCCCCTCCCAAGAAGTCCTTTCGTACCGTCCCAGATACCGGCCCAGGAGCAGTCCGGTTGCTAATCAGGAATTCTCTATCCTGGTGTCTATTGTTTGCAAGTATTGACACCTGTAATAATATCCCAGAAGAAACCTGCTTGTGGTTTTCATCTCTCAGCGCGAAACAATAGAACACTTCCGTCGGCACAGATCAAAACCCCTGCCATGCGGCTTCGCGCACAATGGGACCGTAAATTAAAAAAGGCGTTTGGAAGGATTTTATCTTTAATCCGGTAAATCTGCTATTGTTCTGCTCTCGACGTTCTCTGAAGGGCAATAAATTGATGCGCCTGACTGACTTCAAAACTTCTGGTTAGACAGGACAATGTACCGGACAAGACTGGGCTGAAGACCGGACTGGCTCTGGACCGGACGAGGTACCGGGGGGGGGGGGGCCTTTTCATACCAGGGCTGAATGGTCACGGTCCCTTAGTACAACAAGCCATAACGGCAAGGCTCTGACCCAATTTAGTTTCTGTACTGTCACGCCGGATTGGTTTGATAAAAAAAGAACCGGCACTGGTCCAATTAAGGCTCTTTAACGTCTGCCGTAGAAGCAGTGGCGTAGCCAGGAATTTCTCGGGGGGGGGGGGGGCGCTGGGGGGCTGGGACATTTCATGGGGGGCGTCATGTAGATCAATGATAATTTTTTTAGAAACTCTAAATCTCAGTGGGGGGGGGGCGACTGGAGGGGGGGGGGGGCGACAAGGTTTCATGGGGGTCTCCCCCCCCCCCTGGCTACGCCACTATATTTCAACTTAATCCTGACATAATATCGCGACTGAAAATCTACTGTTTGGTAAACTTGGAATTCGACTTGTGCACGTTAAACCTCAAGCAGTTGATTTTGAGAAGAATTGTCTTGTTATTGACCACTCAGTTGTTCTGGCTGATAATAATTTGTCCGATTTCGAAACATGTGTTCAATCTTAACTTGAAAAGAATAAAATGAGTACCCAATTTCCCTGCAGCTCCATGATGTATGAATTGAGCAAAGGGTTGTAGAAGCATGCAACAGAAGGGTATTGTGTGGGATTCCTTTGACGTTGAAGTTTTTTTGTGTGTAATTTATTTACTATGATAGTTAATTCAATAACATTGTAGCATTATCATAGTCATTCCCATCGATCCTATCATTTAATTGTCATCACCATTTCATCCCACAATCGCCAACATCACTATACCCATCTCCTTGATGAAAATGATATGTTTGAATGATCATTCTCCTTCCATGTAAGATGTCATGAATTGTCCTAAGCAAACTGTTACTGTTGTTGTTAAATATCTTGTTGCACAAAATGAAATGCTTTAGCTCAAACATTTTACAATAACAATGCTATGGAAAAAATATTGAAGTTGAGATACATCGTTTTGCCACAAAATGCAATGAATTTCAAAAATTAAATGCAAGATACATCGTTTTCCCATACAAATGTAGTATCATTAAATCATGTAACTTATAGATAAAACGCTTTGCCATATATATTGTGTAATGGAAATTACATGTAATTTGAAATACACTATTTTGCCATTAAAATATTTAATATCTAGCAACACAATGTAAGTGCAAGAAATTCATCATATTTAAAAAAAAAAAAAAAAAAAAAAAAACACGGATTTTTGCTCAAAGTTTGCAAGAAATAAGACAAAAATGATCTCCTTGGTCATGCATTATTCCATCTCCGACACAGTCATGTGTCCAAAAAGGCACGTGTCCAACTTAAAACTCAATTTTCTCAAAATGTAATTTTCGAGTTTGGCTGTCGGCGTGCCCCTTAAGGTGCATGAACATCAAAGAGAACCAAACTGTGTAGTATTCAACGCTCCAACCTCCAGGGCCTATGTTTGTGCAAACGTGTTATCTCTTAAGGTATTTGACCAAAACAATGCCCGAGAATTCACCTGCTAAATCTGCCTCCGTTGCCATGACACCCCCTTCGTACACCCACTCCCATCCTGGGTACAGTGTGTTGCCTGGCCAACTGACAAATATCGGACCACCATTGACCGACGTGTTGGTGTGGAGCAGGTTTGCTCCCAGTGTGTGTAGCGGTTTCTTGAAGATGGACCAAGATCGCTTGATGAGGACATCTTTGCAATGGGGATAGGTGCTTAAGAACAGTTCTTTGTATCCCTGCTCTCTCGTCAGATACTCTACTCTCAACATGCCCAATTCACCAATGCCTTTCCTTCTCTTTTCAACATCAATGCATAAGCTCTCAGCGTAAACCGCCCCCTGTCGGTTTGTGACTGGAAGGAATCGGACATGACCCACCAGAGTTTCTTTATCGCGTTTGTCGTTTGGGTGCTCGACCAGTCCGTACGAGCAAGGCGCAGGGTTCAGTTCATGCTTGACAAGTTCCGGTAGAAGGTCTGCCTTGCATTTCGGATACTCGGCTCTTAAGATGGAAACACAACTTGGGATGAGGTAACGAATGGAGTGCAGAGGTTTCCATGAGTACGAAAGCGCCATTTGGACGTTAAGCTCCAACCTGATTGCAACTCTGCAAAACAAGATTTTTAAAACATTCACTGCAGTTTGTCAGATTTGTTTTGGACTTTTTAGGGAGGGGGGGGGACGGGGGGGGGAGGAAATATCCAACGCTTTAAGTGGATGCAATGGTGGATGCTTGGCAAAATCAAACACTTTCGATCTCAGGCTATGCTCCGTGGTCATATATGGGTCGATATGGCCGGCAGCCATAGGCGCCTTTACGTGCCAGCGGCCGGACCACGTTGTAGCCGCGTCCTTCGCAATTCAGCATACCAGCTGCGAGTAAGGATGATTAGCCTCCCAAATTATTATTATTATTATTATTATTAGGTACGGCCATGGACACTGCCATGGCCCCCAATTATGCCAATTTGTTCATGGGTCAGCTTGAGGCCACACTCCTCACTAATTCTCCACACAAACCATTTGTTGGTGGAGATACATCGACGACATTTTCTTGCTTTGGTCAGGGAGTCGCTCCACCTTAGATGATTTCCTTGAATACTGTAACTCCGCCCACCCAACCATCACATTCACACATGAGCTTTCCAACTCACACATTGCCTTTTCTAGACGTCCTTGCACGACTAGACAATGGATTTTTCATCACGGATATATATTCCAAGCCTATAGACACCCACCAGTATTCGTCATTCAATTCTTGCCACCCCCACCACACCAAAAAGAGTCTCCCTTTCAGCCTAGCCCACCGACTCCAACGCATTTGCTCTAATGATGATTATTTTGAACAGCGCTTGGAAACTCTTCGTCTCCAACTTCGGAAACGCAACTACCCCTCCACTCTAATTAATGAAGCATTCTCCAGAGCGCACACAGTCAACCGTTCCAACGCTTAAATCCCCACCACACAAAGGATACCTGCATCCCTCTATGTTTGCCATACAACACCAATCTCCCCAATATTTCCAACACTCTTCTCCACAACTTAAAGTCAACATACTTCAATCCACACCCAGACGGAAGTCTTGCTTTCCACATCCACCCATGATTGCATATAAAAGGAGTCCAAGCCTAAAATATTTGCTTGTGTCTTCGTCACTTAAACCCACAGATACACCAACTGCCGGATTCTTCAAATGCACAGCAAAACGCTGTGTCACGTGTGAACACGCTTTCAATACCACACAAGTCTGAAGCACTTCTACAGGGAGAATCTTTCCTATCAAAAGCAACCTGTCCTGTACCTCACAAAACATCATCTACTGCCTCATCACATGCACCAAATGCAACATGCAATATATCGGTGAACCATGCACTACTCTAAAAACTCGCTTCAGGTGTCACAGGTCTGATGCTTCACTTAATAAGAAAGAACAATCCACCACCAAACACTTCAATCTCCCAGACCACAACATTTCTCACATGCAAATTTTCGCTATTGAACAAATCACTAACTCCACCCAACTTCGCAAACTCTCAGAAATACATTGGATGCACCAACTCAACACAGTAGAACCAGCTGGGATGAACATCAAACAACAACAACACACCCTATCCCACCTAACTCCCGCTTGACACCAAGGGCTGTGAGCTTCCCCTTTGTCCACTTTCGTTGTGGCTTAATTTTCCATTGTCATCTTCCTTTTCACTCCTGTCACTGTCCTATCTCCTACTCTCGGCTTGCTACAGACTCCACTTTCAGTCACTTTAACAATAGTCAACACATACACACACCCTCGCACCCAACTTGGCAAGTCCCTACACCATTTTGTTTACCCTTCCTTCACATGCCCTTGGAGTAACTTCATCAATCCATTTGACTTGATTCAATCACTACAGTTATCACCTTCTTTCAGTTCTGTTATTGTCGTTTAAGTTCATTTTGTTTAAGTTTTGTTATTTTTTTTTAAATGTATAGATTTCTGAAGAAGAGCAGTTTTACTGTCTCGAAACGTCGATTAAATCCACTCCAGCCCGCAATGCATTGGTTCTGTGTCACCCTCTCTTTTTTGCTATGTTATATTTTTTTTCAAATTTCAAGAATGGGCGCCGCTAGACTATTTGGTTAATTATGTTGAAAATGAGTGGATTCAATTGTTCATCGGGATGACTTCAAAAGTAAATCTCATTTTTTTTCGCTATCATATTGAACAGTTTTGGACTCGTGGTATAACTGCGTGTACACGCTCAGCACATGTGCGCACACATCTTGTTCAGGCCCGTTTCCTGTTCCCAGACGGGGGGGGGTGTCTTTTTTTTAGCGAGCGCGGAGCGCAAAGCCCTGACGTCGTGGGGTCTGGGGCCCGCTTTAGGTCCAAGAACATTACATTTGTGGATTCTAGATGCTCTGTGGTGCAATCTGAGGCATATCCTGCCCACTTTCCCCGACTCTTTGAATGAAATGTGCTCTTGTTTAAGGAGATGGGGTGGGTCATCAAAGTTGATACATTACATCACAAACATAATATCAAAATTGTAGCCCGACTCTTTTTAGAGATTTGCCCTCCTAAGCTTGATCCATGATTTTCTGCCCGCGAGCGAGCACGTGCTCGTGTTTTGAACAGCTGTAGTCCAATGAAGCGACCTCGCGCGGCAGCTCGTGCCGACATGACAGAACGTACAATATTTTGCCATGGGTTGCAGAACCGGATTTTAGCTTCGCGGGGTTTTGAGCAGCGGTGTTTATTATTTACGTTCTCCATGTTTCTTCTTCCCTCTTTCTTCCCCTTCCTTCTCCACTGTCTATTTTCTATTTTGCCGACAGCACCATGATTTTGCCGACAAAACTGACTAATGGGCGGTTGACACAGCTTCACCAGTGACCAGTTTTGACGTTTTGGCATCGATGACGGCAATTTTTTGACTGACATGAAGTTTAGAATTTCTTCTTCCGTTATAATTTAACAATTCAATTTTTTGAGCCTATTTTTTAGGAAACACAACGTTCAAAAAGCCATTGGGGGGGGGGGGGGGGTGCATGAATTTCACTGCTCTGTTATAGCATCCAAGTACGTAATGGGATTAACTTTGTTTAACATCGGCAATGCTTATAGGCCTTCGCAACCACACAGCTGAATAGTTATTTGACTTTCTAACACACTTTATTTTCGTTGTTACATTAAAAGAGTTAATTTTAAGACAACAAAAACTTCTGATTCATATTTTTCCAGTTCGGCCATTTCCGTTCGAGCGTTATATTGCTGGTTTTGTTTTAAGACATTACACGAGAAGCTCAGCTAATTTCTTAGAACATTTAAACTATAAAAAGCTACCAACTGGTGCTATGAGAAGAGCTGTTTAGAATGTTAATACAGTGAAACCTCGAGAAGTATATCTTAGGGCTGTATATCTTTGTTATACTACTGGAGGCAATGTATTCTTTGTTTGACTTAACAGTTGTTTTCAGTTATCAGAGTTTGACTTATCAAAACTTTACTGTATACAACTTGGTCTTGTCAAGGACTCGTGTAATATCTTGGTTTTACAGTAACTTACCTCTTCAAGATGACAGCTTGAGCTGGAAGACGGTTGGTTCTTGGAAAGCCTAAAGTAGCAAAACAAAAAAAAAAACAAAAAAAAAAAACACATAAGGCCAAAAAAAAAAATATCGGTCTCTGGTCAGACCGAAGTTCCGGAATTGATGCGGTGATGCGTTTTTTTTTTTCAAGCTTGAGTTGTACGGACAAGGTGGGTACTATTTTGCTTTTTTGTGTCCACATTATACATTGGTGTCCTCCATAATTTGCCTTGGTGCCCTTTATCATTTGCCTTGGTGCAATTTTCCCATTCCTTGGTGCTCCTTGGTACAAAACATTGAGGAGGTGCGGCAATAGAGGGCGCTGTTGTAGCTTCCGTGTTAATTTGAAGGAAAAAAAAGTTGACGCGCATAATCAAAATCGACGCGCGCGCTGACCAGAGACCGAGGTATTTTTTTTGGCCTAAACCATACACTTACATCACTTATTAAGACTAAACTAAACATATATCACAAAATTCGCTGTGAGAGAAACGTCAAAATCCCTATCAGTCGATAGCGTTGTTGCGGGGAGACGTGAACACGATCTTCTGAGTTTTGACTTTAAACAATTTATCTCAGATGAAATTTCCTATTTCAAACCAAATTGTAAAGAACGATACTAGCAGTTTCCAAATTATCCTCATTTTGTTTTCCATTGGACAAAAAGCATAAGTTTCAAAATTAATTTGACAACAGGCGAAACATACAAAAAGCAGATAATAAGATTATTTCTTTCAGTATGAAAACTCGTCAGGCAGAAGGCTGTCGTAGCCGAGTGCTAGTCCACGCTCCCTCTGACAGAACTGTGTAGTTTTCAAACCACCACGCAGGAAGTCCAGATGGAAACTTCTAAGCGGCGCGCTCTTTTATAGTCATAGGGAGCTGAGGTCCAGGGGGCGGAACAATGCGGGAAATTACAGGATTACTCAAAATAGGTACGGTTATCAAACATTGCCGTCAATCATTCAATTTTGTTTTATTTTATTCTGGCTGCATAAGCACGTGAAAGATATGCTAACTGCCGAGTCAATAATGAACCCTGTATTTTTAAGGGCAAGTTCTGTTTCCTTGCTCGTCATGACATGCCGGGAATTTCCAGATTCGAGACACCAGAACCTACGGAAGCGTAGAAGGGCCAAGAGAAATTAAGAAACATTAAATTAGTTCCTATCTCGCCGCGGCGAATTACTATTTTGTATCGGTGAGCGTCGGGCACGACAATCGCGATCCCTCTGGGTCCTATGGAACGCCAAAAAGGCCTCGGATCCGTTGCCTCAGAATTGTGTGACTCCACCGGCCAAGGTTACTGTTCAACATTGTTTGTGTCTTTGTTGTTATTTGGTTCAGTGTTGTTCTGTTCTCTTCTGTACATGGTACAAGTATGTTGTGAGGTAGAGAGAGTTAATAAGGTGTGGCAGAATGATTTTGATCGTCAGAGATATAACATCAACAGTATGAGCTGAGAAATTGTGTATGGTTGACCGATACTAACTTCCCTGAGATCCCTGAGGCAGCAGGTGACGATCGGTCTGTGAATTTCAGTCCCGTACGATCAGATCGAGAAATTGGCAAAATCACCCAGAGCCAATCGATCCTCTACAACCGGTCCCAATTTATAGCAACACTCAGCCAGGACACACCTTTCCAAGATCTTATCCCAGTGAGCATCACCGTGAGTTACATTATTCGCTGTTTAAAATTTGTGTAAATCCTGAAGATGATTGGTCTTTGACTTTAGTAATAATTGAATTGCAGTAGTGAATTATGATTATGAGATTCTGTCGATTGAATTTAAAGCAGGAATGCGTTGAGGTTTATGTAAATTATTGACGTGGAAGAAGGTTGTCGTTGTGGAGGCAGAATTGTAGATTTACTATTGTTGAAAGTGCTGATTGTATTGTGTTAGTTTGGGCCCGGAACTTGTATAAATTTGGTTAATTATTTTGTTATAGATGGCCGCACCCCTTGGGTTAGAGGTTCCCCTCCCTTTACTGCACTGAATTGTTTGTCCGAGCCCAGTCTGGCTGACCGTTACGTTGTACTTGGTACTTGGTTGGTGGTCCTCTAAAATATTCCATCTAGGGAAATTAAACTGGAGGTGTGGTATGGTGAGAGTGGTCGAGATTAACTTTTGTCACAAAGAGCTTTCTTAGGAGTCTGGGTTGGTGAGCGCCACTGTTGAGTCCGGGAGATCATTCCATTTTTTAAGTGTTCTTACGAAAAATGAAGAAGCACATGTGTCAGTCCAGGCCTGGTGGAGTTGGAACTGTCTATTGTGTCCTCGTCGTGATCTTTCATTTTTTTTGGGTGATGTATTTGGTATGGTCAATGTCCATTAGTCCACTCAGGATTAAAAAAAACGAAAAAAAGTGCGATGCTGTTTTCTTTTATCTTCCAAGGGTGTCCAATCAAGATCTTTCATGATAGCAGAGATGCTAGTATCACGTCCAGATATCATCAATTTTGCAGTGGAATCGTGCAAATGGTGATACAAGCACCAAATACGGCACAATGATTCTCTAGGGTATACTTCACAAATCTGCCCAATTGGCCACTTGAAAATCCAAGATGACGGCCATATTTCAAGATGGCCGCCAAAATGAGCCGCTAAGAACTATTTTTTCTCATAGAAATGCTCCTATTTGGTCGATTTGGATGTCCTCGTACCAATATCTATGTTTTCAGGCATGCTGGATTCATTTTAGTTTCAGCAGCCTGATAGTTTCAGCAGCATTATTAAATTCTTAGTGGGCGGAAATAACAAATTTGGTTTGGTTTTTGTCAGCTTGTTGGCCTATTCATTTGCTTTTCAACAAGCTATAGTTTGTCCAAATCCATCTATGTTAAGGTACCTTTAGACCGCGATACATGAGAGCCATGTCGGCTGGCGCTGACAGACCTTGCTATAGGACTTAATGCACAAAAACGAAACTGGCGAATCATGTACCTACATCTGACGCTCACTCCAAAAGTTTCAAGTCTGAAGCCTTGCCGATTTGTCAGCTTGTTGGCCTATTCATCCGTTTTCCAACAAGTTATAGTTTGTCTAAATCCATCTATGTTAAGGTACCTTTAGACCGCGATACATGAGAGCCATGTCGGCTGGCGCTGACAGGCCTTGCTATAGGACTCAATGCACAAAAACGAAACTGGGGCATCATGTACCTACATCTGACGCTCACTCCCAAACTTTCAAGTCTGAAGCTTTGCCGATTTGTCAGCTTGTTGGCCTATTCATCTGCTTTCCAACAAGCTATAGTTTGTCCAAATCCATCCATGTTAAGGTACCTTTAGACCTCGATACATGAGAGCCATGTCGGCTGGCGCTGACAAGCCTTGCTATGGGACTTACTGCACAAAAACGAAACTGGGGGAATTATGTACCTACATCTGACACTCACTCCAAAAGCTTCAAGTCTGAAACCTTGCCGATTTGTCAGCTTGTTGGCCTATTCATCCGCTTTCCAACAAGCTATAGTTTGTCTAAATCCATCTATGTTAAGGTACCTTTAGACCTCGATACATGAGAGCCATGTCGGCTGGCGCTGACAGGCCTTGCTATGGGACTTACTGCACAAAAAACGAAACGGGGGGAATTATGTACCTACATCTGACACTCACTCCAAAAGTTTCAAGTCTGAAACCTTGCCGATTTGTGAGCTTGTTGGCCTATTCATTTGCTTTCCAACAAGCTATAGTTTGTCCAAATCCATCCAACAAAAACACTGAAAATACAGTCAAACACTTTTAATTACATGCAGTTTCAATTAAATAAACACAATTATGGTATAAATGTGCATGGAAACCATTGTTCTGATTGGTACAGAAATTGTAATTCAAATTAAAATAGTAGCGAAACCCATGTACAATGTATACATAATATTACCAACATAATGGCCTGTGGTTAATTGACATGGTTTAACAACATTATTCTTTTCAAATATGTGGGTAACATGATCTCGTGAGGTGACTAATTGAATCTATTGCGCTCTTTAAACACAATATCATAGATGCAACTCAAGAGACATGGGAATATTGCACTTAAAGCCCGGTATAGCAGTCACACACAGTTAAAGCATATCGTCACCGTCACCACGAAGTGACACTAACCTCGAAAAATCGATATTTTGCGATTTCGATTTTTTTCCTGATTTGTGATTAATTACACATAATCTATCACCTCAAGAAGTTACTAAGCACAAAGTTAATTAGTTTTGTCAAAACATTAATTAACATTAATTAACATTTACAACTTAAAGGGTCAAAACCGGAAAATGCGTTTTCACGAAGTGTACGCGTTTTCACGAAGTGTACTATACCATTCTTTCGCGTGTAAAGTGCCTGCACACTACGCGTCAAAAACGGGTTTTGCGTTTTTACGAAGTGACACAAATGTCACGTGATACGCGCGCCTCATTTCTGGCGTTTTCACGAAGTAGCGCTAACCCGTTAGCTAATACAAACACGTGGTTAGTGTCACTTCGTGAAAACTCGAACACAGCGTGATCTGAATTTTGAGTTTTCACGAAGTGACGTTATGGTTAATTAGTTTGATAACTCATTAATAATAATTTATTTCCAATGAAAATCATACATTAACGTGACATTCAAGATCCCAGCTTTCAGACAATATATATATATATGTATTTTGAGGCTAAAACGATGTTCAGATCACCGTTTCAAAACATCGCCAACTTAAATCGCTTGTATCTCAAAACACACATTTTCCACTTCGCCGGGGTTAAGGTCACTTCGTGGTGTCGGTGACGATATGTGAGCAATGTTTTCATATGATATTCATGTCAGGGAAGGTTGTGGACCTGGCTGTCACTCGCAGGGACGAAGCCCAGATCGAATTCATCCTGACCAGGAGGAAATGGCGTAACAGCATAATCAATTCTTGCGCCTAACACCCTCTAATAAATATTTCTCAGTTTTGGTCGATTTAATGATTTTCTTGTAGTCTTTTTCCCTGTTATATCCGTTGCTTGGCTATAGGTAGCTTAGTTGCTTGTGATACCGTCCAT